TATTACAATAACAAGATTGTTAATGATATAGATAATTTCCTTATAAAGATCATTATGTTCCTCAGTGGACAGACACAATGTAACCGCATCGCTGATGGAACAATAACGGATATCACTAAAGCACATTACGTATAATGATGCTTGACATGTCGGGGGCAATTTGTCATTACTTGTTTTACCGAGGCATTAGTTCTATATATTAATGAGTTACATGTTTAGGAAATTCTCTATTTTTACAACAAAAACAACACCATAGGTTAATCAAATTCACGGACACGATAAAAAGGCATTTTGGACAACATGTATGAAAAGAAGTACAAATAATTTCCAAGTCTGCTTGTGAATAAAATATAAAATTCCACACAAGTCCTGCATGTTTTTTGTACAGTCTCTTCATACTTCTCACCTGACATATAATTGACATTGCTGTTCCTCGTCTTTACAACACGCATCCGACATGCTTCCTCCCATTAAATCAAACGTATTATGACATCAAAGGCAGGCGCTTTAGTTCAAACTCGAACAGAAAATGGTAAGAAACCATCAGATGTTCATACTATTGTTTACGTCACATAGTTTCGACTTTTTTTTTCTAAGTGAAAATAAGAAGAATTGTGAAGGATTGGCATGTTGAGAAATATAAGGATTATATTATAATGTACTTAATAACACTTTAAAACGAATTTGCGAATGACGCAGGGCGGTATCTTGTGATTTTTACTAAATATGACAGAACATCACTCAGTGACTGATAGAGATTTAACTTGAAGTCACAACCGAAAGTTACTAGATTTAGAAGTTGCACATTGACAATTGCTTCGTTCTGTGTACTTATTGGCAAAGAACAGTACCTATCCGGAATATACAGTCATACTCGCTTATAAGTCTTGTGCACTGACCAACTTCATAGATAGTACATATAATGTTCATCATTTGAAGAATAGATCAACAGGGGATGTGTCAGAAAAGTTTGTCTGGGACAAAGCAAATTCTTTTGCATATGGTATAGTATAACTCATTGGCTGAGATTGGTTCAGGCATGTCATATGTCATCGTAACAATTCAATATCTAAACCACACCCATATTACATAACTTTATCAGATATTTAGTATTCTCATGTCGTTTAGTTGTGATGTCAGACTTTAAAAGCAATTCCAGAGTTATACCTTTTTTTCTAAATCCGTTTTTGTTATACCATAGTAGCGTACAGAATATGACTATGATATACATTGTTATCTGGTTCATGACGGTTGTAACTCGACTCGTCTTTGTTACACCCAATAAAGCCTTCACATCAGATCAAGATAGTACATCACTCTTCAACTAATGCAATTTGGTATACTTATATCTAATTTATGAAATCATTATATTTATGACTTTCGCAAAATCACCATAAATTTCAACCATCTGGATCATATCTTATAGATGAATAGTACAGACTCAATTATCAAGTGCATACAGCCAGAGGCTGCAGCCATGTATGACGTAGGTAAAAATGCTGATAATCCTGAATTTAAGAAGTTTTTTTGTATAGAGAAAGAACATAACATTTTCTCTGATACGTTGAGCAAATTTTTGTTTGAAACGTTATTGTAGATTTGTTTATTTATATATTGCATGACCTTCGTTTACGTTTGATATGAAAGGTAATTATAATATAACACCTTTTTTTATACAGTAAGTATATTTCTTATATCTTTTCGAGAACAAAAGACGGAGAAAATGCTTTAAAAGTGTCAACAAAACGTATTCAAAGTCTAAAACTGTACAATTAAACTAAAAATAAACAAAGGAAATATTAAAAAGTCGATCCTTGAAAACATTCATAGGGGAATTACACCAGGTGTTTCGGAGGGGTAAGCGTGTTCTGCTACCAGCCGGTGTACTTGACAGGTTACACTCTTCTTCTTAATCGACGATATCTGTCATGTAAACCTACAAATGTATGTCAAATCAATGTTATGTCACGTCAACATAGCGTTAATTGGTGGTGATAGCAACACAAGAAGAAATCCTTATGAACAAAGTCAAAACCTCTAGCAGGATATAATCTTAACTCTTAATTTTGTAATCAAAGTAACTATCCTTTAGTTTTTAAACAAATATCGCAGACATATGTTTATTAGAAATTGTTTAAATATGAAGTTTCAATCATTTCGTTGTTCGCTATATTTAAATTATCGAAAATATTGAATTGTGACCCCGACTAAGCCACCTGTTAATTCATTTACAACAATTACAGATGGAATTACCCTTAACGTAAATCAATGATGGTGTTGATGTATAAGATAGAATATTATAACAATTAATATAAAGATTTATTAACCGTAACGACTCTTGGCAACATGTCTTTGTTATTGCTGTTTCTATGGAATTGTAACCCTGTAAATACTAGCCGCAATATATCGCTTGGCTATAGAGAACTTCTCTTTAGCTCGATCGGTAGAGCGTAAGACTAGTAAGCCAAAGGTCCCGGGTTCGATCCCTAGCGGAGGCAGTGATTTAAAGTTTAAATTGGCGCCCACGTAGGGACCCGGGAAAAATATTCGGCCTTGCTCCACAAACATCGCTGTTACCTCTGGAAAAACACGAACGCGAGTTCTTTCCTGGAAGGGGAGTACATGTATGTAACCCTGGTAAATACTAGCCGTAATATATCGCTCGCCCATAGAGAACTTCTCTTTAGCTCGATCGGTTGAGCCATATAAAAAACTACTAGTAGGTTCTGTATACCATTCCTGATACTAGCTTGTATGATGAGACCCACTAACTAGTCTGTATGGATATGTCCTTAAGACTCCGGAAGGTAGATAGGTCACTTAAGATACTACTCCGCTCTGGGCGTTGTATATAAATTGAGTTTACCGGAGGTAACCTTTTGTTACCGCGGGTAATTCGCTATCAGTAAATAACTAACAACCCATAATAGAAACGAAAATTGTAATGTTTGTAAATGTTTATTAATAGTAGCTAATAAATTTGATACACAGTTAGTCTCCATCGAATCACAAACGATTCGTTGTCATTTCCCTTCGACAAATTTATTAATAATTTCGTCGTCTAAAACTTTGAACATGTAGCAATACTCGATCAACTTTAGTATGTACATACAGGCAGACGAAACAGACAGACATGAATACAAATAACCATAAAACATACCCTGCAATAAAAAGCATGCATAAATAACACGCACAAGTTAAATGCTGATACTCTTTGTGTTTACTGACAGAACGACAGAGAAACAACATCCAAAATACCAAGAGGCAAACCCAATACACATTTGTTTATGAAGACAGAAGGACAAAGTATTAGACACACAAATAATACGCGTCAAAAGCGGTAAACTTTGGTTTATATAATGCACCTGTTTGTATTGATAGTTATTAGTGTTATATTACGTATTCATGACTGATTGCTTTCGTGACAGTGTTGTTTTGCAATGAAAACTGTGTATCAATATTTGGTACACTAACATTCATAATGCATGCATGCGTATGCCGTCTATTCTGACGGGAATAAAACGTTTAATGGTGATTTGCATGTTAGGATTAGCATGCATCAATTCCATTTATATTTCTTTAGCCTTTATAATGCTTAATGTCGACATATAACTGACTGCAGTAATGACGTGCTGATAGGGAAACATCTTGAATCATTAAGGTGGTGCACAATCCGTTAAGCTTACATTATTTGATGACGACACTGTAATGATACATAAGAATAAAAACCAATAAAAAGTAACGACATGTATAACGTAATATAAAAGATAAAGTAAAAACCTATCTCACCTTTTTTTTCGATATTGTTGCCTTCTGTTGGGAAAATCATGTTATTTATGTTCAAATTTGCAGGTAGCATATAAATGCATATGCAACATAAACAGTATTATGATATTTATAAAACCATTATATGAAAATAAAAATAAAAAATATCTGTTATTTAAAACACATCCCCTGAATAAAGCTTATAAAGAATTCAAGAAGTTGCCAATTGATAAAAACAAATGACAATGTATTTTAAAATCAGACAACTGGAAACAACGTCACGTCGCAAGCAACTAGGATTATAGACAGTCATAAATCCATCAGAAAACTTGGTATTTGTTCCTAAGTAATACTACTTATACGTGTCATATATAACAATAATAATGGTTTTAAGGAAATTTCACATTGGACAGGAAATCTTACGATTGTCATATTTCCCTTCTAGTGAGAACTCACAGATAAAGTGTAGCATACCATTAAAGCTTAATTTCGGCGATTGTCGGACCCACATGGTCAAAAGATTGCTTAAGTTAAAATACTAATGAAAAAAAATGTAGCTTAAATGTTCATCTTTTTATAAAATGTATTTACTGTTCCACAGGACATGAAATTGTACGCTTATAAAGGGACAACTGGGTGTATCGCATTGGTTATACAATCGAATCACGAAAATTAGGAAATCTGCCGTAAAATTGGGAACCTCGGGAAGATGATCAATGGCAAAATTTCAAGCCAACAAATTGCATTAAAAAATCAGCTATGCGATATTAATTAATTCTTAATTTTTAATTTATTTTAAATGTAAAATTAAACTGTATTACCATTGCAAGTGCCCTGGATGTAACACTTTCTGATTCAACATTTCGAGTAGATATGAAATGGTTTTTCGAAAAGTCCAAATTTTAAAAGAGATAATTCAACACCACTTTTGGTAGCCAGCAAACTGCATATTCAGTACATTTCTAGCATATTGATACAACGGAATAACATTTTATGAAGCGATGAAGAATAAAAGTTACCAAATAACGCTTGTTAACTGCGACATAAGGGCATCGCTGCGAACCACTAATTGTATTCATATTTTGCCCTTATTGGCCATGAAAAAAGTGTGAAGGGGCGAGAATCGTGTACCATGAGCTGACGTAACAGTCGTAGTGGATTACTATACATCTATTAGCAATCAATAATAGTGAAACCGCGCGTGTTTGTACAGCGAGGCCTCCCCCCTAGCCAGCCAATATCCAATACCTTGTCTCTTTGCTCAGTCTGATAAACCGATCCATGATTCCTGACCATCCCTTTACTGGGCTAGGTAGTGTCAATGTATGCCGTTCACGGGGGCGGTAAGCACTAAAAACTATACTTCTTAGTCGGCACGCGATTGTTTTCGTTAACTATAAACACTCTACACAAATATCAGTGATTTAAAAAGTTTTATACCAAAGAGGAACAACTAACGTTTGGCAATACAAGGCACGTTCCTAGAACGCACAACTATACAAGGCCTATCCAAACTGTACATATTTAAAGACTTAAAAGAAACGTTAACAGTTACCTTTGTTGGAGATCTCACACACCTGTTGGCAGTTACTTTGGAACTTTGAGTTGAGACTGACAGCTAAAGATGAACCACAGGTGTATCTGGTTATTTGCTGCGACATGTTGTGTATATCTATCCGTTAATTTTTCATCAGTATCAGCAGGTAAGTTTTGAAATGTAACATTGCATGTTTTAATTTTGGAAAGTAGAGTTTTTATTTTTGTATTTTGGATATGTTTTCCTGTTCTTGAAAACGTTGATGGGAGAGAGTGTCAACTATAGTCGCACATATTCAAGAAATTGGTCGTATTAACAGAATTTTGTTAACTGTGGAATATTATAAATAATGATAAGTAAGATGGTATTTCACAAAAGACTATCAATAAAACTATCATTTAATTATATTATATGGGTAGTTTCGTGTATGATAACCATGCACACTGTCATTACATCATATAGAATCAGCAAAAATTAGATTGTTAACTATAACAAAGACATGTATAACTAAACTACTAGCTATGCTTAGATATAAAGAAATGTATTGATAAGTAATTTGCCAAAGTAAATTACTTCTGTATGGCCTCGTCGATTGAGAAGGCAATGAAAGAACAATAAAATTAACAATACTTAGATTCCACGACGTAAGGTTTGATTATACAGAGGCGCGTTAATTCAGACACGATATAGTCGAAATTCCAACTAAGATGCCTATCGTCACCCGCAGTAAAAGCATTCCAATGGAGTATTGTATATACTTAAATACTATGCATTTGATGAGGTCGATATGTCAAAGCAATGATTGTTTTAGATAGAACAACCCCGCGGAGTTTAATCTATAGTATTTTAGAATAGTCGCGCTATTTTTCACACTTTCGTATTCATTAAAAAAGGTGATAATTGGTTTTCATTGACGTAATTATAAGTAAGGTTAGGTATAAAAGATAGCACGCATTGAAGCTGCTTTAACGTGATTGTATCAATGTCTTTTAGATATATGACATATTAATGCGTGCATCATTGTAAATTAGATGTCGTTAACATGTAGATTAATGAAATACATGTGTAGTTATTTGATCATCGGTACGGCAGCATAGTGTTTATTGTCTACAAACATATACCAAAAAAGTGCTACCGTTCTAAATACATCTGTTCTGTCACCAAAGATTCAGTTTTCTATTACAGTACATATCATATCAAGTTGTCAGCCAAACGTGTCGATTCTCCAATAGAAATAGGAAATCCATTAGTATCCAAATCGCAAGACGCTATTGGAAATTGAAATTGAAAAGAAAGACGTGTTTCCTTTGGGAAAACTCCGAATAACTGCGCGTTTAGGTTCTGATATTGCTATGATTATATGATCATGTTCCAAACGGTTACTTTGAGTCGTTTTTACAAAGGAATACCTCGATGGTGCTCTCTAACATATTTACAGAGGAATAGCTCGATGGTGCTCTCTAACATATTTACAGAGACATCAAACTGGTGTCATACATGAACATCAAATAGGACAGACATATTCAAATAATGTAAGACGTATGTCAAAGGCGTCGAATACTGAGGATATACGTTCTAGTTTTGGAAATGATCGCGTTTAGTAGCGGTGCTTTATACCTCATATTATAAAATGCATGTTTAGCCCATTATTGGTTGGGACAATTTCGTCATCTCAAATAACCTACATGATTCAATTATAGAAAGTACTGTTATAACGCTGTGGTGGAATAATTCCTCTTGATGAATTCAATATGAATTTCAATCACATAAAGGGGAACAGATGTGTGAAGTTGTTCGTAGACTTATGAAGGAGAGAGTATCGGCATAGCAGGTATAGAATTAACACACAAGGCGTCGTTCCGACCAGCTAAGAAAAAACATATCCCACCTCAGGAAACAATACCGACGGTCGAGTAAACCTGAATATTATCTTTATTTATGAAATGGCCGATATCATGTAAATGATTCTCGTTGCTTCCTGATAGATAGTACGGCTTTTGCTGACGGGTGAAATTGATTTCTGTCTGTTTTATCAGGCATCTACACGGCTTAAGGTAAATGCCATTTAAGGCATTCAGTCAGGTACGCGGGGAGTGATATGTCAGGAGGACAATACCAGGATCAGTGTTAACACAAGTTTTATCTTAAAATTAGGTAAAAAGAAATCGATAAATTGTCAATGGTGCCTTTATTCCGTGAATTGCTATACGAAACACGAATCTTCTCCTTTGATCGTTTCGATTTCTCACTTGCGTTGCATATAATACGGAGTTCCTGTTACTATCCTAATATCAGTAGTGGTTTTTTGGTTAGATATGTTAATGAGATAGATATGCAAATGATATCATTCAACGTTCAAATTAAGTTTTGCAATAAACATTTACATACTAATTTGAAATAGTCGAATACCGTCATAGGCAGTGTTATGATTAGTCATCAGTAGCTTCTTATCTTTATTATCATTAAAGGAAGGAAATGTAATGGATCTTAAGTCTTCATTGACGCCTAGAAAAATGACGTCAGTGATGATGTCACCCTTTTTTCCTTATCTGACTTCTTAAGCTACGTTGTTTAGTTCCGTCCATTAGCATAATTTATGTATCAACGAAACTGAGAAGCATATTTCCGAGATAGCAGTTCCTCATTACCCATTCTATTTTGTATATATTTTATCAAGTTTTATATAAATGCTTTAATATTCTATGTCTTTGTATTGGATTTATGCTTTTTATTTAATTATTTTACATTATCTATTTAATTTTTTCAGGCTGGAGAGGTATGAATCTGCTAGAACAAACGCATAGAAAAGTAGATAGATATATGTTTAGCTACGATTAGTATATAACCATGCACTCACATATCTATATATTCATATGCATACTTACAGTGTAGTATTTCTCAATATCGTGCAGACATTCACAGAGTAGTCATGTAATACTCAATTATTTGAAAGTATATATCACGAAATATGTTGACAAATCACAGAATAATATGTACGTAAATGCCAACTACTTAGCACTGATAACGCTACAAGTTAAACACAGTGTAATACCAGCGTATGTGTTTGGCCATATTTGAGTTTTCAGCAAACCAGGACGTAGTTATCTTCAAGTGCGTAAATATCTAAATTCATTGATTTTACTCATACAACTTGACCCTGTTTACAAAACTAGTCATCATATCACCCCTTACCAGCAATCGACCTTAGATAAGATAGTCCAGGTTTGCTGAAATACTTTGCTGACACTGTGTTGATGACCATTTTTAGTTTACTGCATGCCACTGTATGTATCTTAATCAAAATGTAATCAAAATCAGATACCCATGCAAGTAGATGCAATGCCGATGTGTTAGTGTTTAGCACAATATAAAACAAGTATGCTAATCATGTATGTTGGTAGTTAGAAAAGTCTAATCACAGTTTAGTATTAACACTATGTAGCACTACTTATCGAGGACAGTCCTTTATATTGAAATCAAAATTGTTTCATGCTTGATCTGTGTATGTATAAGTACTGCATGTCTGGCAGTTTTGATCTTTTTTATCGTTAAGTTAAATGACTCTTGCTGAACAAAATGAATGGTTGATACGTGTAAATGTTTCATCTGAAATGAAGATATAGTTCAGTGTTAACAAATTAATACAAGTGATGAATCAGCAGCAACAGATAATGATGGTAACAACAATTTTGATTTCAAAACTTTACGTGTTTGCCTATTGTGATAAATGACTTAGTTAGTCATAGTTATATTATAAAATAGAATGTCTGTCTGCTTTCATAGGTGACATACTAATCATTACTACACCAAATATATTGTTTGTCTGCTGTGATAATTGGCATCCTAGTTATAACTACAAAACAAAGTGTTTCTTTTCTGTATATTGGCGCAATATTCATTACTATAACACTGTTGTCAGATAGTAATTTCTACAAAAGGAAAATGTTTCTCTTGTGATTATTGCTTGATAATTGACGCACTAGTTAGAACTACAAAGGAAGTGTTTGTCTTTTTTGATAATTGACACGCTAGCTATTGTTCAACATGGTTGTCATGTGATAATTGACGCACTAGTTATTACTACAAAGGCAGTGCTAGTTTGTTGTGATAATTGACACGCCAGCTATTATTCAACATTACTTTTTCCTGTGATAACTGACGCACTAGTAATTACTACAAAGTAAAGACATTTCTGTTGTGATAATTGATTCTATAATTGACGCACTAGCAGTTACCACAAAGGAAGTTTGTGTCTGTTGTGATAATTGACACACCAGCTATTATTCAACATACAGTTTGTCTTTGATAATTGCACTAACAATTAAAAACTGTGTCCCTTGTGATAATTGTCACAGTAGTAATACCTACATTTGTTTGTTTGTTGTGGTAAAAGCCACACTAGTCATTACTACAAAGCAAGTGTGAGTATGTATGTTATGATAGACACGCTGGCTATTATCTAAAATAAATGTGTCCTTTGATAATTGACGCACTATTCACTACCACAAAACAAGTAGTCATTTAAGCACACACATATGGTGCTTAGTGTCTGGTATGTCATTGTGTGTATTTAACACTGCTTTTAGCTTACTATGCTCTATCACTGATGTTATTTATTTATTGTCAATTACATGGTGGGTGTTCTTTATTATTTTGTACCAGGCAGAACTCAACCATAATATACTACAGTAATGGATATACATTTATAAATATTCTTTTTAACTAATACAGGTTCTTTCAAGTTCATTTCTCATGGAATAGCTGTCACTCATGCTCTCTGAATCTACATTGTTAATGAATCAGTCAAGGTTGGAAAATGTTTAAATTGGACCTGAACCTTTGAACAATGGAAGTCCCATACTACTGTCATAGTTACAGACAGGTGCTGAAGCCCGTTATGAAATTAGTGACAGGTGTTGATTTACTGCAGAAAAATCCTGACGGATGTGGTAGCCAGTTAATAACAGTGGGTAATTGACAATAGTCAGTTACTGACGGCTGGGTATTAACAATAGCTAGTAACGGTGGGTGATGATTTAAGGTAACTAATAACTTATTTATTTTCATATACGGGAGCCAGTTACTGATTGATGTTAATAAACAGTAAATTGTAACTAATGGCAATCAGTAGTAAGTCCCTGAAGAATATAAGTAATGGTAATCAGTTACTGACTATTGGGTGCAAAATCACAATTGGTCATAACTGGCAATTGTTGATGAACAATAACCAGTTACGCAGGGATGTTACATGTCATTTTCAAGAGCAAATTATTGACGGGTAAAGTAGCCAGTTACTGACGGTTGATAATAACATTGACCAGTTATTGATGACTGATGATTTACATTCACCAATTACTGACGGTTGATGATTAACATTGGCCAGATACTTACGATTGTAGACTTACATTGACCAGCTACTGACGGTTGATATGTACATTGACTAGTTACTGACGGTTGATGATTTAAATTGACTAGCTACTGACGGTTGATATGCACATTGACAAGTTACTGACGGTTGATGATTAACATCTACAAGTTACTGACGGTTGATGCTTAAAATCTACCAGTTACTGACGGTTGATGCTTAACATCTACCAGTTTCTGACGGTTGATGCTTAACATCTACCAGTTACTGACGGTTGATGATTTACATTGACTAGCTACTGACGGTTGATGATTTGCATTGACCAGTTTCTGACGGTTGATGATTTACATTGACCAGTGTCTGACGGTTGATGCTTAACATCTACCAGTTACTGACGGTTGATGATTTGCATTGACTAGCTACTGACGGTTGATGATTTACATTGACTAGCTACTAACGGTTGATGATTTACATTGACTAGCTACTGACGGTTTTTGATTTGCTTTGACCGGATACTGACGGTTGATGATTTGCATTGCCCAGTTACAGCGGTTAAAGTTTCACATCGACCGGATACTGACGGCTGCTGATTTACATTGACTAGCTACGGACGGTTGATGATTTGCATTGACCGGATACTGACGTTTGATGATTTACTTTGACCAGTTACAGCGGTTAAAGATATACATCGACCAGTTTCTGACGGTTGATGATTTACATTGACTGGATACTGACGGTTGATGATTTGCATTGACGTTTGATGATTTACTTTGACCAGTTAAAGCGGTTAAAGATTTACATCGACCAGTTTTTGACGGTTGATGATTTACTTTGACCCGATACTGACTGTTGATGATTTGCATTGACCGGATACTGACAATTGATGATTTACTTTGACCAGTTACAGCGGTTAAAGTTTTGCATCGACCAGTTATTGACGGTTGATGATTTACTTTGACCGGATACTGACGGTTGATGATTTGCATTGACCGGATACTGACAATTGATGATTTACTTTGACCAGTTACAGCGGTTACAGTTTTACATTGACCAGTTATTGACGGTTGATGATTTTCATTGACCAGTTTCTGACGGTTGATGATTTACATTTACCAGTAACCGACGGTTGATGTTTTCTAACAGGTGTGTTGCCAGTCACTCATTGGTGATGATACGATTAACTGACGATTTTTTTAGCCAATTGCATGCGATGTTAAGGCTCATAATAATTTGAACCATTTACTTAGGAGGGATAATTTTTGGAAAGCCATATTTCACTAATGAAAATGATGTGTCTTTAATTATGACAATGAAACTTGATATCAAAAGTTCGTAATATTGTAAAGATATATTATTACTTTAATGTTTATCATATCGAAGTACCTCGAACATTACAGTAATATGTTACTTAACAGTCCTCAATTTTGTTCAATCTACAAGATTTGTTTGGTTTATTCTCTTAAAATGTAAACAATAACAGAGAGCTGACAAGGTCCAATACACATATTGCGACATATGGTGTCAATATTTCAGTATGTTTAGTTAATTACACTTGATGTACAATTGTAATAGAGTATTGTATATCATATTTGATTATGTCAGGGTTTCACACTGCTATCTAGAACTGATTTGGTTATTACCTCGTTACATACCTATTCATTATAAACGTCAATAAGTTTACTTTTTGTACAACGCAACTTTTTATCAAGAAGGCGTATGGAGAAAACACTATTAACATTGTATGTTCCAAAACTCCAACTGATCGCCAGAAACCAAAGACGTATTACTTTAAAAAAACACACTAATTTATTGAGTATTCATTTCGAAAATTAAGAAAGCAATGTGTTAAGCTAACAGAACATTTGCCAACTCTCTTTGATTTCTTACTATGAAAGTAGTAAGCACAGGGTTTGTTTTTCCTCTGGTGGGCAATGATTCGTGTCATACAAAAGGCGTACACAGCACAGGGGTACCTTTGTTTGTCCGTCAAATATTTACAGATAGATCGATATGAAATACAAATCAAATGAGACAACTATGGTTATCGATCCGCAGACAAGTACAATGTAGAACAATAGAGAAGACGGGTACATTCAACATAAATACAAACACTTAAGTAGCTCTGTAAACAATATTATCGAGCATTGCTGCCCCGCAAACATCCAATGCAAAGGCTTATTATTAATGGATGAGTTTTCAAAACAATACAATACAATTCCTGCGCATTAAATCGACTTCAATTTATTCTAATGGATGCACATTCTTCCACAAGTAGATTCAAGTCGATAATAATTATGCCTGCAATTTATTATTCGTCGACTTATAACGATAACTAAATTTGATAAATAATAATTTAGCCGCTATATCATGAGTATTAAAACCAAATGAAATTATCATTCAATTTAACCATC